TTTTGCAGATTCTTGAAAATGGCAGGCAATTCTCCTCACGGTGGAGGTTTTCCGGGTGCTGGAGATGACTTCGATCCCATGACTCTACCTCCGAGGACTCGACCTTTCATGCCCGAGAGGTACCGTCCGGCAGTGCACGTCCTCCCTCGTGCCGTTTTTCGTCATTTTACCAGTTTCGACGAGAGAGCACCCGCGGATCTGCTTCTCAGAGAGCCGGAGCAGCATCTCTCTCACGAGGCCCGAGAGGTATTTACCTCATCTTCTGTATTTTACATTTCGCACCCTTGCCATGTTTAAACATTCAGCTTGTGACATAGTACTTGCCTTACATCTTTGAACAGCCAAAACACGTAGTTCGGGGTCCCGAAAATGGGCTGTTAAGCACCGAAAATTGTATTCGACTTCGAAGTGGGTTTCTCAGCCCCCAGTGTCCCTCAAAAGGGATGAAATAAGATGTATGCCAAAAATCAGAGCAATAGGAGATGGTTAAGCGGTCCCGAACCGAGGCACACGGCCTGACAGCTCCGAAAACCGGGAACCGGACTCCGAAATGGGCAAAATGGCCTACGGCCACCAAATGTAGCCCACGGCCACTGAGAGATGGTCTGCGGGACCTCTCCCTCCCCTCAGGAAAAGAAACAAAGAAAACCGAGCCTGGTTCGCAAACCGAGGCAAAGCACAAAAGAGGGTTCGGAAGTCCGGAGGCAGGGCTCACGGCCGCAACTCTGAAACTTCTGAATGAGCACATTATGCAACATCACTAAGCGCTCAATCAGTGACGTCTGAGTCTTAAGGTCGGTCAAAAATGGGGTGTCTACAACGGGGCTCGAATCGGGTTCTCGGTTTGGGAGTTTGAGCCGGATTTTACTTTAGGCAAACCAGTTCTTTAAGAAACTTGAATTCGAGGAGTTAACGCCCCAAAATCACCAAATGGCGTCGGTTTAGCACGAAACTTGGCACACACGACCGCCTAGGCACGAGAAACTTGTGGGAGAAGACGGGGCTCGAATCGGGTTCCCGGTTTGGGAGTTTGAGCCGGATTTCACTAAACTATCTTTCTAATTATATGGTAGTTAATTTTTTTATATTTTTCTGTAATTAAAATATTACCACCATTATATTGTTATTAATTATTTTTATTTTGTTTTTTTCAGATATTTCCTGAGTAGCAGTTTGCTTCGCGTGGAATGTGGGCGCGTAAGGATTATGACCAACTTCTGTTTTTGTAACTCACGAATGAATCAAGACGAAAACTTTTGGTTTTGATTTTGATTTATGTTATTTAAATTTGTGACCAACATTATGTATATATTATGTGACCAACATTAGGAATTTTTATCATTTGCCAACTTTTGTTTATGTATGGATTTATATTATTATGTCATTTTTTGATTTTTTTTAAGCTATTTTTCACTTGCCAACATTAGTTATTTTATTTATGTATTTATATTATTATATCATTTGCCAACATTACAGGTTATTTTTATATTTTAAATAATTGTGAAAGAGGGATTTTTTTTTTTTTGTAATTTTTTTTAAGACGGCAGAACACCCCGTCGCAAAAAAAATAAAAAAAAAAAAAAAAAAAAAAAAGTTGTGCCAGGCTTTTTTGCGACGGCAGCTATACCGTCGCAAAAGGTGTGGAATTTATTTGAGAAACAAGGCTTTAGCGACGGTGAAATTGCCGTCGCCAATAGTCATTAACGCCATATTTTTTGCGGCGGCATTTTTTGCGACGGAATTTTGCCGTCGGCAAAATATCATTAGCGACGGAAAGCTTGTGCCATCGCAAAAAAGTCCAGATCTTCATCCACTATCGGCGACAGATATTTGCCGTCGCAAAAAAGAAATATTCCCGTCGCAAAAACAATTGCGACTGCAAGTGCCGTCGCTAAAGGTTTTTTGCAACCCCCCTTGTTGCGACCCCCACTTGCCGTCGCAAAAAAAAAATTTACCGTCGCAAATAGCTTTTGAGGCGGCGTTTGGATTATTTGCGACGGCGTTTTGCCGTCGCAAAAAACAATTTTTTTTGTAATGTAGCATGTTATTCTATTTGACAGTAACATTTTACTGTTATAAAAAAAAACATAGTATCTACTAGATGAACCAACAAAAAATACACATATATAACATTTTTAAACTTGTATAAAATAAAATAAAAGTGTTCACCGTAAAAAAAGTTCTATGATATATACATAAATATATATGCATGGGCAATATTATCCAAGAAAAAAAAAATTATATTATCCTTACTCAATTATGCACCTCCTCCTTAGGGGATTTATGAAACAAAATAAATTAAATTGTACTTTTCTCTATACAATGGTTAAAGGGAGGAGTTTTGACTAAATTTTCTATAATTTGATTTTCAAAATGCTTCTTTAACTAGAGACGTGATTTTAATGGTGTTTAACCAATGGACTTGTGTAAAGCAAGAGTGAAAATTTCAGAATTATTGGAACCACACACGATATAAGAAAACCATAAAATCACTACTATAATTAACCCAATTTTAAAGTGGGTTCCAATTCATTATATATATATATATAATCAAACAAACTCATAAATTGTCCAGAATCTATAATCAAAATTCAAGATTGATTTATGGTGTGGTTTCACGATTACAAGATTAAATATAAATCATTGATATAAATGTGCTAAATATATATATATTTTAGGGTGCCAGGACTGTCATGAAAATTTGAGACAATTAAACCAATGCTTTTGATCTTAACCACAATTTAGTTAATTTTAGAGTTTCTTTTACTTTTCTTTTTTGATCTGTCACTATCAAAGGTTGTTGAAGCCAATAATCATACAATTCCTTCTTTTCTTCCTTTTTTTTTTTTTTTTTTTCTATAAAAAATCAATGGTCAAAGGTTGTCCATATAGTAAGGTCCACCACCCTCTCAAATCAAAGAACTTTTTTTTTTTTTTCCTTCATTGGAGCATATAATTATGATATATTATGCTTTTTTTGATACACTCTTTTGGCTTTTTACTTCTGCTAAAAGCTCCAACAAGTCACCATACATTTGTTAAATATAGAAGGTGTGGAATGGTATTATCATCTTTAGTGAAGTTGTGAGAAAAACCATTATTGATGGAGCACAACCCTAGTTCCTCTATAAATGATAGGAAGACTATAGAGAAAAATAGAAGAAATCAAATGAAGACCCTCTACTCCAAGCTCCATTCTCTTGTGCATCCTCACAACACTAAGGTAGCTCTCTCTTTCTCTCTCCCAAATTTGTGTTAAAGTTGTGGTTTCAAGTTTCGATTGACATGTATTGAGTTTTTGTCCTTCTGATATCGATTCATTGATATACTGATAGCAATGAAAGTACAAACGTATTAGCCAATTTTTATTACATATCAGTTCATAGTTTATTCATACAAGTCCATTCCACTTAACTAATACGGTTGTTTCTGACTGTTATAAATATCTTTTTTATTACTGATAATTTAAAAGTTAATGAGTGTGTCACTCGATTCTCTATGGGCATGCTTGATTGGGTGGATTAGAGTATGGGATTGGGATTATTAATCCGTGGGTCCAATTATTCTATGTTTGTTTTAATATTTTGATTTAGGATTATTAATCCAATAGATAATTAATCCTACAAATATATAAGATTATTAGTAATGGGGTAGGAGTGAGATTATTAATCCAATGGATATTAATTCAATTGGATAGTGAATACCACACTAATTTAATAGAATTATTAATACTTCACTATTAGTCTGGTGAATCAAGCATGACCGATACGTATTGTTCGATGTCGATACTCCTGTACCAATTCATCTCCCGATTCTCTGTGTACACATAATGGGTTTTGTGTTTTTCAATACTGATATACTAATGGAAATGAAATCACGTGTATTGGTCAGTTCTTGATACGTATGGGTTTATAATCGATTTATGAGCTGATAGAACCTATTCATAGCCAAAACGGTTGGTTTAACTGCTTTAAAGTCTTTTTTTTACTAATAATTAAAAAAATAAGAAGGTATTGTTCATTAATCCCAATACTGCCGCAACGCAATTCATCATTTTTTCTCCTAGTGTGGCTACTTAAAATCTTGTTATATATTTATATATACCTCTAAATGATGATCTTTTGATGAGCTAGCAGGAAGCAATGTCATTGACAGACCAAATAGATGAAGCTGCAAACTATATCAAGAAGTTACAGAAAAACTTGGAGAAATTGAAGCAGAAGAGAGATAGTTTAATGGGAGTTGAAAAACCAAAAGCAAGAATGAAAAGCACAACAAATGTAGGGCTGAGATCACCACAGATTGAGATCAATATGATGGGTTCAGCTCTAGATGTGGTTTTGATAACTGGGTTGGATTGTCAATTCATGTTCAATGAGACTATCAGAGTGATTCATGAGGAAGGAGCCGAGATCGTTAATGCCAGCTTTTCAGTTGTTGATGATACTGTTTTCCACACAATCCACTCCAAGGTAGCCAATCAATGATTTGTTTGTTTATTTTAATTTGTGTTTTGAAATTGTTTTAATCTATATTATATAGATTTGAGTACAGGTGTCTGAGTGTAGATATATATTTAAATTTGTGATTTATCTGATCCCTATCACTAAGGATATGGGAGTAGGGCAAACATTCATATTTTTCATAAATATTCATTTTTTATTTCAAAATTTCTTATAATTTATTTCACACCATTTTCACTTTCAACCCGCAATCCACTCAAATGTAGCCAACAATGATTTATTTGTTTATTTTGATTTGTATTTTGAAGTTGTCATAATCTGTGTGTTATATGGACCTGAGTATTGCTATAGTTGTCAATGCAGATATATATCTATGTTTTTAATTCATATCATATTTATGTCCAAAAACACAGAGACATCACAAAATCTTCATATTTTTTACTATAATTTTGAATTTTTTTAGGACAAAATGGTGTTCACAAGTGTGATAATGCATAATATGTGAGTTTTATAATGTAAACTTGAATTATTAAATTTGAATATTAAATGTGAATGTCCAACTACACATCGCACATATATTTAATACACTTTATGACCCAAATGTCGAGTCTCCAACGCAATTATTTCATATATTTAGAAGGGTTTATTATTTAGAAGAGTTTATGTAACATAAGTCATAATCAATTTAAAATTTGAAGTACACATGAAACATTTGTATAATTTTGTGAAGTATTAGTATCCCGTAATATCATACGACATAGTTATGATGTTTTTAATCAATGACATGATTGGTTCAAAAAAAAGAAAAAAATCAATGACCTGATGAAAAATTTTAAAAGTAGAACATCTGTATTAGAAAGTTGAGAGATAAGGGATGACAAACTCAAATTTATTTTTTTATTTGACCGAGAACTGTTCTCGGTAGAGTCTGCTGGGCCCACCCCAAAAGCATAAATATGAGAATCAAATGACACTTCTTAATCGCATGATCCCTTTGATCCAGGCAAATAGGAGGTTGCAATTCCTAATTTTTCTGGAACACAACATAGACAATATTATATGTTACTCTCAAACTATACGTAATAAATTTTGATGTTTTTGGTACAGGTTGGAGAGTCTGGACTGGGATGTGGAGTAGCAAGCATTACTGAGAGGCTAAAGAAGTTTGTCTATGATGCTAGTTAGCTATTTTAGTGATGTTAATGTAAGAACTGGTTTAATTTATTCAGTTTCTTTCTTGTATGACAATTACTAAAATTCTTATGTGAGTTTGCTTATGATTCCTTTTTTCTGCCTAAAACATTAGTAGTAGCTGATGAAGAAATCACATTGAAATGCTACTAGAAATGTGGAATTTAAATTGATGAAATTGAACTACATATATTAAAGTGAAATTTTGCTCAAATTAAAAGAACTAATTAATGATATAATTTTTTTTTCAATAAGAATTTTCTTACCATCATATATTTGTTGGAGGACTTTTTATGCTTCATTTGCAAACTCGGTTTGGAGAGGGGATTGGAATTGATAATATTGTGCAACTCATGGCATTATATATATACATATATTATTGTCTTCAAATAATATGTTGGTTTGAAAAAATAAAAAATAAAAAAAATAGATAAGATCAGTTGTATTTTAGTATTGCTAATCCCAAAAATAGTGAGATTAGAAATTCTAACCCTTTTTTTGTTTGATTAGACGGATTATAACATCTATTTGAGATTATTAGTTATGAAATTCATATTTATTTTTTTATTTATTTATTTTGAACATGAAAAAAAGGGCTCTGTGGTGTCATCATGGCCCCGTTGGGCCTGGCCTCGGGGCAACCGGTTGCCAACCAAGAATTAACTCTCACCAAGTGAGGGGCCCACCACCAGGGCACCATTAGAGCGCGAACACACGCCACAACAGTGGACAGGTGTCGAGGGGATTTATAGAGCGTGTTCATATTTATTGTTTGATTATAATTTTTATTATCTGTATTAAATTTCAATGGATAATTTGTCCAACTAGATTGACCGATTTTTAATCTAGTAATTAATAATGCAAAACAAAATATAATTGCCGTCAAATATTTCTATATTCGTTGCAAAACAAGCGTGAACAAGAGCGAATTATTTATCTCACTTATCATACTAAAGCACCAATCCTACACTAATTTTATGAATTATTAATTTACTTACTATTAATCTTGTTAATCAATTTAAGTCTTATAGAATTGCTAATCCCATGACTGTAAGTGGATGTTTGTTTGGACAGACCGTATCAAAGGGATTGCAGTGCAATGGATTATGTATTGAGATGAATAATCCGTAGATTATTTGACTAGAAATTATATATATTTCATTATTAGTTTGACATTCACTTATCTAATCAAACGATGGATTCATGAATCTATTTTGGGATTGCAGTGCCTATTTTGGGACTCATTTTGATGATCCGAACCGTTTATAATTTAGAGTACATTGAGTAGAATAGATACTTGAAAAAAATTAAGTGATCAAATATCGTTAACCATTTCATTGAATTGCGTTTGTATCTACAAAAATTAATGACAATTGCAATTTAAAGTATAAAATTAAATACAAATATAAGTAAATGAAAAGATTAACGATATCCAATTAAATTATTTTTTTATAAATATACCCTACTTGAACTAAAATATAAATGATTTACGTTATCAAAACGGGTTCCTAAATAGGTCTACATAACTGCACAACAATAATTGTTGTGCCCGCGCAGCAGCCGCCTATCTCCAAATGGCGCATATGAGAGTTATAAACGTAATGGCTTATTTGCTGTGCCGGCCCAAATAATTATAGAATTGCTTAATGATGGGCTTTTCGTACAAGGTATAAGGCGCAATATAAGAATCAAATAGCCCAATTGCACAAAGCTAGTTTTGGAGTCCACTTCTAGGCCCTTTATCAGACGACCAAGCCAGCCAAGAGTAGGGGTTAGGGGCGTAAATCTGGCTTGGCCAAGTTTATGTCAGGTCTTGTGGGCTTCCGTCAAAATTTAAGTCAGGCTAGGTTGGTCTATGGGTCAAAAAATTAGGCCTAAGCCCTGGCCAAGGGGTATTTGGGCCTTGGGCGGGCCGGCATGCCTAGGCTTGGCCTTAGGTTTGGGTGGGCCTGACCATTTTTTTTTATTTTTTTCTACTAAAATTTTATTATTTTCCACTAAAAAAGACGTCAGACCTTGAGTGGGCCTTAAGCGGGCCAATGGGCTAGGCCATTGTGACAACCCCACCACATATAGTGATTAGCGCTAATTAATTTAAGGAGATTTGAATTTTAATTACTCATTATGTTGATTTAAATTGGGATTTACGAAAGTTATGATGACTGATTTGTATATGATTTTATTAAGGATTTATGTTAGAATTTGAAATTGAAAGTCTAATGGTTCAAGAGGGTATAATTGGTAAATTGAGTTATCTTAATTTTGAATATCGGACCATATGGGAGTTTAATTAGATATTCGATTTGACTTAGTAAAATTAAGATTTTATTAATTGGGTCCGAATCGGAGTGAATAAGCTATGAAGATTGGGAATTAAGATGATTGCGAATTAAATTCATTTTTGAAGTGCCTAATTTGAATATGTGATTTATTGACGAAATTTTAAATCTGATCAGAAATTGAAGGCTTAAATGATTTAAGGAACCAGAATTGAAGATGAAAATAAGTTTAATTTAATATTTGGAGCTTTTTTGGAAGTTTGATTAAAAATCTGAGTTAGATTGATGAATTTAAATATATTTAATTAGGTTCTAATGGAAGTCAGTTAGACTAATTAAATTATGTGGGATTTGAGTTATAATTAACTGATTTTGTGTTAAATTAAAAGTTATTAAGGCTAAGTGATGCTTAATTAAATTATCTCTAGACACAAATTGAATTATGAACTAATTTAGTATTGGGGGTCTAAATGGGTGTGGGTGTATTGAGAAATTTGTGTATGTGTGTGTAGGTGAGGTGTTGGAAATCAAGTGTGTGTGTGTGTACGTGTCATGTTGTTGGGCAAGAAGTGAGGTGTGTGTGTGAGTGTATAATCTGGTGGTTTCAAACTTGTACTCAACCATGAGTAGAAAACACAAATAAGAGTGAAAGAAAAGGAAAATGAATGCATTCATGTGTTTGTGCTGGAAAGAACGAACCGATAGGTAGAGAGAGAGAGGGAGACCAACTCTATGTGTTGGAAGGTGAAGGAAAGCAAGGAGAAGCTTCGGAAAAGTAGAGAGTTGAAGAGAGGCTCAAGAAATTGTGAAGAAACTCATTGTGTGAGTGAATTTCTAACCACACTGCCAATTCAGTATTCAGCTGGAGAGCACTGGCAAAATAGATGGCACCTGATTGACCTGCAACAGAAAGAAGAGATTCCGAAGGTGGTTCGTCCACCCGGTGGCACTCCGACGATCAAGTCAGTTATCTCTCAAAGATAGATCAAGTGCTTAACTCACTGTTCAGAATATAAAATTTGTACCTTAGACCCATGGGGGTGCCTTTCTTTTATAATCAACACAAACTCAGTCCCAGTAGAAGCCTAGCTTCAATGGACTTCAGCTCAGTGCTTATCTTGGACTCTTCAATAGATAAAGATAAACTCTCTAAGAGTTTTATCCTTATCCAGGGTGAAGTCCTTCCTCATTCTAGGACTCTTGTCCCTTATCCGCTTATCCCGGATTCCGATATCTTCGGAGATAACCTCGACCTAGCCGAGATCACCTCGGTATCACAACCAGGACACGTGGTACCTCAGCTGACACGCCGGCGTCACCTTGGCCACGTGTTTGGTACTCAGAAAATATATCCCCACAACTGCACACTCAGAAAATATATCCCCACAACTGCCCCCTAGGTTCTATTATCTCGGCATCCTGAGGTGATGGAACCTATATCGTCATATCGTTTAGCACATTGGCTATTCTTTCTGTATCATCCATTTACTGAGGTCATAATACGTCGGCTTCACATGACTAAGTCCAGCCGAGGTCGCTTGCTTCATTAAACCAAGAACTCCAAGAGTTTTATTGTGCGTATGAGCTGTCACGCAAAATAAATCAACCATTTCTGCCACGCGTCTTCCCCTCACTGGATCGTACTCGATACGCGCCAGTAAGTCGTCTCGCGCCTGCGTGCGCCGTCTGACCAATACGTCGTTCTAGGCTCATTGATGGTGTTTTGCCGTCATTCTCTGCGTTTTGATCAAAATCAATTTCTCTCTCTCTCCGTCTCTTCACTTTGCCATCCTCATTCTCAAGCTCTCAACTCTCTCTTTCTCCAAAATACGCCATTGTTTCCAGATTTTCAAGCTCTGTAACAGCTTTTCATTTTTCTCCTCTGGTAAAGCTTTTGCTGTCCTTTTCTGATTGTAACCGTCTCCTGACTCCGGCGTCTTCAACACCGGCTTCACTTCTCTGGTAAGCTTCTGTTCCCTCATGGTTTCCAGTTTTTGAGAAAGCTTTACCTAATTACTTGCTGCCATTGTTGTTCTGCTCAAGTTCTTGTTTTATAAATCACGTATCTGAGCACATTTATTTTTCGATTTTACTTTTTGCCCCACACCGTTCTTTAATATACACATATACTTTGTTCATTCTGCCACTGTTCTTGGCTTTGCACCCTGGCACACACTCTGTCACAGTGTTCTTGATGATTCACCCCTAATCTTGATTCTGAATCATAGCTTTTGTTTATGTTTGCCGTGTTTTTTTCTAGATTCTTGCCTCCCATCTTCGTGTCCATAGATCTAGGTTTGGGATTTGTTTATAGAACCCACAAATTCTAGGAAGAACTGAAACGATCCCCTCAAATTCTTACCCCAGCTCACACTTAGGTTTTTGCCGAGGTCCCTATAACCTTTTCAAAACACCTTCTTTCTGAAATTCAGTTCCTCCAATTTAAGCCGGCGTTATGGGTATGTGGAAGCATAGAGTAGACACCCCGACCAAGTTAGAACACTTTAGGCAGGAGTTTGACATCCTAGCCAATGTTCATCTGAGGTTGGCTGGGGAGGATGACTCCATCATGCCCGATGTGAACCTCATGCCTTTTCCAGTAGTGGCCCTTATCGAGTGTGGACTAAGTTTTCCACTTGACACCTTTTTCTGAGAAGTCATTCACTACTATAAATTGAACCCAATGTAGCTTGCCATCAATTCTTACCGAGTTATCAACGGTACAATAGCCTTAGCCAAACAAAAGAATGCTAGGGTTACCCTTGCCGATTTCCAGTACTGTTACACTATGTGTCGCCTGAAATCAGAAAAAGGCCATATC